CCACAGGTGCCATTTGCAAGCACTTGGCCACAGAGCACACTACCTTATTACTTTTTTAAAAACTCAATTAGTCTGAATAATGACATTAAAAATATAATCTAAGAATTTTTCTTGCAATCTAGGGATGTTTTGAGGACCCCGCCACGGTGGTCTAGTGGCTAAGGTACTCGGCTGCTGACCCGCAGGTCGCGGGATCAAACCCCGGCTGGGGCGGCTGCATTTCCGATGGAGGCGGAAATGTTGTAGGCCCGTGTACTCAGATTTGGGTGCACGTTAAAGAACCCCAGGTGGTCAAAATTTCCGGAGCCCCCCACTACGGTGTCTCTCATAATCAAATAGTGGTTTTGGGACGTTAAACCCCACAAATCAATCAATCAATCAATCATGGATGTTTTGAGGATCAATCTAGAGATAAAATGCCTCCATGGGTTGGTCGTACGTGCTCAAAACAGGTGTTCTGTGGCTGAAAACGCTCGTGCCACCCGTAACAGCAGAGGCAGCCGCGTGCTCTATGATCTATGATAGGATCTATGATAGTACTCAGGGTAGTCCTCTACTGTTTGAAGCCAGGACGGGAGTATTGCGAACCAAGACATATCGGGCCTAATACAACGGGGTAGACACGGTATGCAGTGCATGTGGAGAGGAGGAGAAAACTGCCGAACACTTGATAATGTTCTGTAAAGGACTTAACCTTATAGTTCAGGATGATGGCGCAGAGTTTTTCAAAGCACTGGGGTATGGTGGCTAGAAGGAGAGGTGTCAGCATCGTCCCGGCTACGCCTTGAAAGGAGGCGTGCTGATATATCATTTCGCCGCGGAGCGCCACGCAAGTTGCCACCGTGATCGGTCGAGAGCTTTCGCCAGCTGCTAGCGCGGCACTTTTAGTCGCTTGCTCGTGTGCTCTCGACTTGCAAGCGCAGACGTTGCGCTTTGCCTATTTGGACTTGTTCTGGATCAATAGGTGCCAATGTGACCATGCCACAGTGATGGGTAAACAGCAAATACGCCGCTTTGCACCTGGATGCAATGCGGGATATGTTTCGCCCCGCAAACAAGGGAAGAAAGCGTCTCTCTTCTCTGCTCTTGCCGACGATGAACAGCTCGAGCAAGGCCTGGGAGCGTACGATTCCTCGCGCTGACTAGCCACTGGAAAAGAACTGCGTTGTGTGCGAAGCTCATTTCGACGAAAGATTCATCGTCCGTAGCTACAAGCATGTTATCAACGGGTTCTTTGCAACTTGGGATAAAGTTGCACCTAAGGTGGGTGGGTTCCTGAGTGAATCAACTGCCGAAGGACTCCGCGTCACTCTAACCAGCACCTAGCTTTTCCACCCGGCACAATCTCACGAAAACCTTGGGCTATAAATACTTGATGACGTCTCACCTCTGCCAGGACACGCTTAAAATCTTTTTGGAATTCTAAAGCAAATGTCTTACTCGAATGACCACCCTCTCCGACAAAATGTTTGATCTCTGTAAATTGCCTCAATTTTTACAGTTTGGCAGTCACCTTCCAGCGGAAACATACCTTCTGGAGTTCTGAGCAGTCTTCTATGTCAGGGCACATCCATAATAATTATATAAAATTGCAGAATAAGCTGAATGAGCTGCTAGAGGTGGGGCGCCTCAATGAGGTTCATGAAATTATTGTTATTTGTGAAGCCCTTCCTGACCACATTGATCTCATTGGACGCAAAAGTGACTCCCGGATCACTTATTACGTCAGTGGCTATGTGGCCCGGAAGATGGTGAAAAAGACAAAGTGCAGAGAATGTCGCAGGTTGTTGCTTCACTCTGAGAATTCCTGCTTGCTTCCAGCAGAATCATGCCTTCTGTACCCGTCCGAGTCCTTAACAGACCTGGTCAAAGCTATGGAAGATGCATTCACATATATTGCTTCAGTTTTAACAAGTTGAAAAGTGACAGCATAACAGACCTTATCTCTTGTCTGTCTGTGAAGAGGTTAAATATGGTCGGCTGTGAACACCACAAACTGGAAGTGACAAATCAGATAATTAGATTATTTACACTGACCAGACGGCATTTTCTCGTTGCTAGAGAAAATGCATCCAATCAAAAGAGAGAGAAAAAAAAATGAAGTTCTTGAAGTTTAGACGATTGTCTTGTTCTTGTTTACATTGTTACAAATCTCCCATTAACAACTGTGATGTCACTGTCTGGTTGTGTTTCACATATGCAGAAAGCAATTTTTTTGTGAACTGGTTTGTGACTGTATCTATGTTTGCCAATCGAATCTCAATGTCATATGTGTGTATGTATATTTACTGTTCTTTTTATTTGCCTTATTCACTTGCTTCAGCTGAGTCTCGTATAACTTGCAGTTCTCTCCAACCTTAATGCATATGTCATGTTTATTTTTCATGTTGTTTTTCGCTTTCGTGAAAATAAATGTCTTCCTTGTAAAATTAGACCTTGATTGCGCAAGTCATAAAAATAATGGTTGCCGATACCTTTACGTGCATTGAGACATCACGGAGAACACTGCGGCATCAAATTTGAAAATTGCACGGACTTTGTTTTGGTGTCACGCCACGGTTAGGTGCGAGGCCCATGAAAACGCGCACACCGGCGCTGGACTGCCTGAAAGGTGCCGCACCGCACTACATCAATAATAACAAAACGCCACCATTGTGCCCAGTGAGTATGGCCGCTGTGACGTAATTTACGCCACATTTTCCTCCGTGCACTGTAACCGTGTTACAGTGTACTAGAAGGGGGCAGTGGGCTCACTCTCCGGCGGAGGGTATGCAGAGTGGTGGCTCCAGAAATGTCACACGTTTGTGGTTCTCTGGTCGCACGAGCGGCGGCGCTGGCATCGTTATCAATAGAAGAAGTTTGGTAGGGACGTTGCAGCTGAGCCGGTTGTGAGCCGGTCAAGTCCTGCAGAGCAACAGAGTTTGAGCCACGTTGTGTGGCTGTGGACATTGTTGCGCCTAGTTTTTGCCGTCAGCTTTGAGCGTTACGCACCACGCAAGATGACAGTATGCTTTACAGTGCATACTGTAACCATGCCGCGACAACGGCAAAACCAGTTAGGCAGTTAGGGTGTCTAACAGGCAACGTGTTCGTGAAGAGTAAGCAGGACCGGTCATTGTTTGGCGTCCTGAAGGATGAAAACAGGCCGAAAGAATGCGAGAAGAGGCAGCACAGAGCGGACAAGCTTCTCGAATATACCAACGCAGTTTGCGAACTCCACTTGCAACCGCGTCTGTGCATATTATCGATGGGGAAAAAAAAAATGCGCATACCTCAACCATTGTCCACGCCGAGGCTGTTTTCAACTTGTTCGGCTGACCAACGTTTGTGACCGAGGAGGCCTCCTTCATCCCTCAAGTCAGCTGTACAGCTTCATGAAAAAGCTCGAGGATATTTTCAAAGAATGTTTTGCCAGAGTAATTACGCTGCACTCTGACAGCATTAAGGGCATACTGGCAATCGTTCAGCGCAGACTCTCGATTGAAGTTGGCTGCGGTGTGCACGCAGCTACCCTCACCGCGAAAGTAATTACTTTTTACGTTGTCACACGTCTACATTCAATGTGAAAGCACTGAACAATGATAATTAGGCAGGGAAGCGGCAGAGGGCCAAGCAGCTGAAGATCAGCCGTCACAAATGAAGTGAATAAGGTGTGTAAATCAGTAGCTACATGGCGTACTTCAGTTCTTGCAAATAAGAGCTTCATGTCAGGAGCAGATGCTTCGTCTGTATATTTATTTAGTTTTTCACCATGTCGCTCTACATATGTCTAACATACGTGTATCTGCATAATTATGATTATTATTAACCCCCAGAAAACTGTTGTGTCATGGTCTACAGATGAAGCAGAACAAAAATTATTTAAGCACTACAATTTCACTTTATAATAAAGGCACAAACCCAGCCAGCACGCCTGCATGTTAAAGCTTTTCGAGGAAGTAAACGTGCACTGTTTTCTAATTATCTCGTGAAAGGGTGGGCATAATCTTGTTGCGAATTCTTTTTCGGTTCGGTCTACACAGCATGAGCCGTACGTTTGGTCACTGTATCAAACCATATAATTTGTGGGATACATCATCTTTTTCGACGAGGTGTTATACTCGAGGAAACACGATATGGCCTGAACAAATATAACGCTTATCAGGAATACTCAACTAACTCAAGTCCACACCCTCCGAAACCCACCCACACACACACAAAGCGTTAACTGTGTCGCACTAGAAAGGAGAATACACAGACTGCGCCGGCTGCCATGGGACTAATTTTCGGGAAGCTGTATCGCAAAATAAAAGGGAAACACTGTGAAGCGAGAGCACCAGAAGTTCTTAATATAATGAGAGGGCAGTCAAAGCACGCAAGTTTATTACAAATGTTGAATAAATGCACGTTCCAACTTTTACGAGCGGCCATCGGCGAGCAGCTTCTGCAGGTGAAGCTTCCATTGCAGTTGCCTGTGGCGCCATTTCTTTTATGTGACGCCAAAAGCGTCCAAGTAGCGCCGGAGTAAGCCCACTGTCCTCGTCTAGTGCACTGTAACCGTGTATATTATTGGCTCGTACTTGTTTATTGACTGCAATGCCAGACCAAAGCCTCCTAGATTTTTTTCGCCTGCCGAACGAGCGCGAAACACTCGTCATCTATGACGGCGCTACCTAAGTAGGAATAAGGGTTTTTGTACTAAGCCTTTGAGATTAGAAACTTTGATGCTCGCTAACTGTAAAGGCTATGCCTTGTACCAAAGGGGTTGCCTGCTGAATGAGCGCAAAACACCTGTCATCTATAACGGCGGCACTTACGTAAGGTTAATTATAATTAAGTTTACGCCTTTTTAAAATTTTTACGTTATTTTTGTTGCATATAAGTTCCAAAAACATAAAAACTTATTTGAAGACACTCCTACTTAAGTAGCGCCATCATTAAAGTTCCGACGACGGCTGTTTCTTAAGTGACCACCGATAATCCGGCAGGCAAGGGAAATCTAGGAGGCTATGGCCAGACCAAACGGTCGTATCACAGAACACCTGTAGTATATAGGTCTTCGGTGTCCAAGCGATCTTTTTCAACCACTTTTCAACTGCCGTGATACACACGTTTCACGACGCAGACAAAACAGACTCTGAAACACACTCGTACTCCAAATGGTGAGATTGATGTTCCTTTTGATGTGATTTGTTTTCCTCTGCAAACACAAATAATTTTTTTCTGATAGGGCTGCGTTACGTAAAATCGAAAGTTGGCATAGACGTCGGAGTGGGACTTGTGCGGAGTTGTGTACCGCACAGGTGTCACCGCGCCAAACTTGTTGTATCTTTGTTATTGTTCCTCTCAATACGAACCCGTCGATTCAGTAGCGTACTCCTAACTCTGGCTAGACGTCTGCTGTGTGTGAAGTATGTTCATGCATCGTGAATTGAGAAGAGACGTGTTGTTGTCCTTAACAGGTGTTGTCCAAAACTTATCGAAATTCGTTTACAAATTGTTACTTAATCATGTGATTAAGCTTGCATGCGTAATCAGTTATACGCAATATAAGAGCGTTGTGCAGGTCACAGTGCTGTTCTGCACGAGGACTTCGTCCGCGGCGGCTTTACGACGACATGCGCGGCGTGTGGATGCGGCACACATTGCGGCAAAGTGGGCGTTCAGTGTGTGCTGTGGCCAAGCGTTTCTCACGTGTTCGGAATGTTTTTACGTTCTAATTTGTTTCGAATGTTTTGCATGGTGCAGCTGTCTTTTTGTTTTGTTTTATTTACCGGTGTTATCCTTTCATAGTTATGCTTTTCCAAGCGCGCCGAATATTGAAACTTTTCTCAAGAGCGCGCAAATGGTACTCGGCAGTGCGAAAAACGCGAAATTCGATTACTGTTTCCGCGGTACTACAGTCTGTGACGTGCCAAAAATGCACGAGAAGCTCTTCTAAACCGAAGCGTTGTGTTTCCGCCCTCTCTGCACCTAGAAAACAGTTCAGGCCGTACAGGCTTGTAGAAGAGAGAAGAGCTGCCTCGATCTGTATATCAGCAACAACAGACGTGCTCACATACATACATTATGCAGGGAATTCTAAAATAGGGGCTTAGAGGAGTATACAGGATACTCCTGTTAAGAGAAACCTGAAGGGACCAGGAAAATGTGTTTAATTTAACAGTAGTTTCATTTACTGACAGATAAACATGGGTGTAGAATTAAAGTACAAAACCAATCGTATTAGAGGCAGTTGTTCTATTTAAGCGGCAGTTTAGTTTACTGAGAGTCTACTGTATCCGATTATGCATAGCATCTGGAGAATCAGTCGTTGTGCTGTTTCAGAAACTCTCCACGAAAAAGGACCCAGTTTCTTTACAGGCGAGCATATTGTTTTTACGGCGCTAACACCCTCTCTACCCTAATGCTCAGCATAGAGTTTCTTATAATACACTAGAGGGAACTCTGGTACTAGTGTCTATGGGAGCTGCAACACACGGAGATTCAGCGAGCATAGTAATGGTGGATAGTACACAAATTTGTCTAATCTTTTTACTTTCGGCTCCGTTTGGCTTCGCATGGCTTGGAACTGCTTTGTCACGAGATGACAGTTAGCAAATGTTCAGCAGTTGTACTTCACCACCTTAACTTTCTAGGCTCACCAATTCAAATTGGGTCACTAAGTTGAAAACAGTCCATTCTTTTATTCGAAACAAAACCAAAACATGCCAATAAATGAAACCTAAAGTGCATTTGAATCCTACAAGCATGAAGACTAGGCAAATTTGTGTACTACCCATCATTCCCCTGGTCATTTGAACGGTCACAGTGCCAGAGTAGCTGCTAGTTAATTTGAGGAAACTCTGTGATGCTCAGAACATGACAGCGCACATGAAAAGTGAAGGTGATTTGCAAATAGCAAGGAGAAGCCAGTGTAATTTACTGCTCCACGAATCTTTGAACTTATCCTTGAATGAGTGTACGCTTCGGCATTTTAAACTTGACTGCAGGCACATTTTTCAACTTTTGCAACTACCCGTGAGGTTTTCCTCTAACCTCTACATCTCACCTTGGGCAGCGTAGACAAGCTTAGTATGTGCATCATTACATGGCATGGAGCATGCCTTTTAAACAACATGCAACACTAGCAGACTGAATGATTCACATTCTTATCTATATTCTATGTGCTAGAAAGTGGTGCTAGTATTAATTTATGGTTGCATTTTATTCAGGCTATGCTGGTGAAGGATGTGCATCTACCTGCATCTCTAATGCCAGAACTTAATTTGCCAAAGCACAAGGAGTACTTGGCAAGCTATGGGACTAAGAAAGATGATTATGTAAGCCGTAACAACTCACATTTTTTCCTTCTTTTCTTTTTAAATCTTACCTAGAGCAGATGAGGTGTGCATGTTAATATTTTCCCATTGAATTGTGTCTTGCTAGCCAGATGATGAAGTGTGATAAGATCCTGTGTCATGTCGATCCAAGTTTCATTGATGTTACTTGTTACTCACTGGGGTGTTATAATGAGAAGCTGCATTTATGTGGTCATTGGGAATGTATTTTTGAATAGTTTCCTGAAATGCAATAGGTACATTAGGTTACAGGATTAAAATCTATATATGGGCATTCAGGTTCCCAACCCACAATATGAGTATGAGCATGCTATAGTGGGGAGAGGGACTCTAGATTAACTTTAACATCCGTGAGTCTTTTAACATGCTCTTAATGAAGCAAAAAAAAGAGAAATTGGACTAAAAGTGTAAGAATGCCCGGGTACTCAGGTGCTCTTGCATTTTCCCCACATCGAGATGCAGCAGCCATGGCCAGAAATTGAACACGTATTGTCAAGCTTAACCGCACGTAGCATTGAAGCTAAGCCATCACAGCAGGTGTCACTTGATGCACCAGCATCAATGAAAATAGGTGCCGGCTTGGTTTTCTTGTTACTTATTTTTTTATGTAGTGGCTTCATATGCTCGTTTCGCTATAACTCATTAAAAAATTCAAATAGTTACATTCGTTATGTGTGTACTGTTGGTGCAAATACAAGCGGGCGAGGAAACTTCTCTAATATCTTGTGCTGTTTCCAGACTCAGTTATATTTATAGCGGTGGATTAATTGACTCCAAAAAATACTCTTAAGACCACTGCACACTTGAAAACTGGCTGCAGAATGATCTTTCACTGATATTTTATGTAGTTAAGCGTAACAAGTACTTTGATTTCCTTTCTATATTTCAGTTTATACTTCTCACTAGATTGATCAGTGGAGTACTGTATTGATTTCAGTTGCACTGCAAATCAATATATCACTGCAGATGACCTAAAGCAGTGATATTAAGAGTCGCATTTAGCAGATGAGTTGCCTGTGTTGCACACATGAAATAACAGGGGGCCTCCAAGGGTTTCATTATGTATCCTCATTGTCAGCAGTTTATACATGGAGTCTGTACTATTGAAAGGTAATTTTTTTATTGTGAACTCCTCAAAGCAGTGCAAAAAGATGTAACTAAGAAAGTAAGAACCTGCAGGGCGAGCTCTGTGTCTCTACCTTCTCAGTCTACGTCCTTCTGCACTGCTCTGAGGATGCATTTGTACCAACTTGCCCAAAGTTTTATCCTGTTGTTTTTATTGTGAGTCTTAGCTGAGAAAATATTAAGTTTCCTGCATTATTATACTTTAACAATCCAGTTTGCTTATGAAAATAATTGAAAGTGGCTAACAATCTTTTACAAGCTCAAATTGTCATATGTCTGTGATTTGCAGACAAAAAAGACGCACCTTTGTTCTGATTGATAAGAATACTAGAACTTGTACATTTGTCCTACTAATGGTGGCACTGGTCATTGTTGAAATGAAGACTGTAATTGTAATACATGTGTGGCTGTTATCTATGATATTAATCTGGGAATTAGAGCCATATTTACCAGCTTATAACATGCATGAGCTTCTTTTATTGTTTTTTGAAGTGAAACTTTCTTCCTTTTTCCCCTATTATGTGACTGATGCATATTGTGCTTTCGAAGCAGACATCTTTAGATACTGGGCATGTACAAGCAGGCACGCATGCTAAGTATATGCCCATTCTTGGCCATTATTTTAGCATGAGGTATGTTCTAATGGTATATACATGAACTGTCGGGCAGAACAAGGCATAAGAAGTCATTTCGGCAACAGAAGCTCTCGGGAAGAAAGTTAAGGAAACAAAAGTGAGACCAAAAGAAGCACTGAGGGTGGAAGAGACACGAGTCCAAAAGAAGTGTCAACTTGACGAACAGCTTCACTTCACTTCACTACTCTGCAACATTGGCATTTGCTGGCTCACTAATGCGACAACACAGAACAACAGCACTCGGCAGTCATGAACACAGAATCATGGCAGGCATAAGACTGACCAAGTGTAATTACACACGGCGGTTTTTAGAAGCAAAGGACATGACAATCGCAATTGCCAGAAGTGATGGGGGAGATTGAGGCATTCTAAATTTCTCATAAAAGTTCATATTTATCCTCAAGCACATAATGTCTCACCTTTGAATCACGTAGACAACACCACCAACAATAACAGAGTTGTGAACTTACAGGGAAGGCACAAGTTTGGTATGTTGCCTGTGGTGATGGTACACTGCTTGTGCAAAATGACCTTAGCTGAATTCACTTTGCTGATTTCAAATACTGACATTACTGGAGGTGGAACATAAGTAAACTGTCTCTTATGGACTTTGAAAGTAATGGTCAGTGCAAAAGAACACGCATATGCATGGTGTATAATAAATTTACGATGCATTTCAGTTGCTCTGATGAATTCCACGTCTATATAAAAGTATTTGTCATTTTGTTATGATGCATGGTTAGGCTACACTTATATGAACCTGAAAATAAGCTTCATTTATTACTGATTCCCACATATATGTGATATCTACGAACTTTTTTGTTTCTTTTCATCTTTTTTTTTGCATGCATTGCACTCTTCACAACTGAGGTCCTGTGACCAATCGGGTTTTACAGGAGTACTGCATCACGGAACATCTGCGAATGAGTGGCATCTACTGGGGCCTGACAGCCATGGACCTAATGGGTTCCCTGGACTCCTTTGATAGGGCAGAGATAATTGAGTTTGTTAAACAGTGCCAGTATTCTTGTGGGGGCTTCGGGGCCAGCATTCACCATGACCCTCATTTGCTGTACACATTGAGTGCAGTTCAAGTAAGTTCTCTTGTTCAAGTTATAAGTGCCCAGAATGTAACGGTGAAAGTAGACTGGTGAAAATAAGAATAAATAGCCCAAACGCTTTTTGGATTCTACTTTACTGACTGCAATAAAATATGAGGAAAAGCTGTGCAAAAACAACTTTGAATTTTGCCCACTTGTCTATAGACCCTTTTCATAATCTGCAAATGCTCTTTTCTGTACTGCACATTTACCCTACTAATAGCGGCACCTGTCCTGTTTCAAATGGAGACGAGGTCCTAGTTGAACATTCTGAGGCTCATCTGTTATGCGCATTGTCAAGAGAGCCGAGCCTACATTGTTCATGTCATGGCGCAAGTAAACTGCGCTTGAACACCTTGTTTGGTGAAAGTGACTAAGACCTATTAGTAGGGTAAACTGCATAGCAGGAAAGCTAGCTTTGCAACTAGGAAAAGGGTTTATGCAAGATGACTGCAGAAATGCATTTCCGATTCTGATACAAGATGCTGAAACATAAATTAGCCAGACGCTGGACCAGCTTGTGTATCTTATACATCTGATCCATCACTTTAAATGGGCCCTGCAAGTTTTTAAGTAATCGTTGAATGGCTTAATTAAGAGCTTATTGGCTCATGAATTGACTGATTGAAATTTTTTAGTATCCATCAAGTATGAGCAGAGTTACAGAGGCTTCTTCCTCATTTAAAGTGCTTTATCTCTCCTTTAGTACTAGTGAGCGTGCCTAAGTTGTGCATTGGGAGATGACCAGGGGTAAGTCTGTTAGTCAGGGCATGTCAAGTCCTTCAGCACTTTCTTTTTTCTTTGAATGCGTGGCTTCCCTTCAGTGTGATCGTGACTTCTAGTGGGCACATGGCGGCATCCTGAGGTACCAGCAGTAACTATGCAGCTCACAATGTACAAATAAGCCAATGGCTGTCGACTTAAGCTTATGGCGTGGTCGTTTAGGTCTGTCGCATTATTTGTCTAAAGAACAGAGTACAATTTCCTGCTGACTTTGAGAATTAATAGTAAATTCCAGACAGAATGCTTTGCTAAAGTGTTTGATGCGCATGCTCTCAGGAGCCTTGAATACCGATCGGCAGCGTTTTCTTGCCATGATGAACAAGTGTTGCAGAGCCCCTATTTTTGGGGCGGGAGGGGGGGCTACAAAGAGAACGTCCCAAGACCTTGTCTTTGCCAACTTCAGGCTAGATCCAATACGACAAAGCAGTAATAATGAAGGTGAAATGAAATTCACAACTCAACGGAACATATCAGTTATGACTAATAAACATTGCATATAACTGTATACCGCTTGGAACGCATTTACATGCGTGAGTGGTCAATGTCAAGGGTGATTTACGGCAACATCAAACGATCTGACTGCTTTGCTCACTCTTTATTATTCACTTTGTGGATATGCTGTGATTCTTTTTTCAAGTCTGAAAAGCCATAGCAGAGATGTATCACATACAAGTTGAAAGTTGAAAGTTGAAAGTTGAAATTTATTTCACCACAACGATACACCGTGATTTACACAAACAAGAAACAATTGTGGCATGGAAAGTAGGAAAAAAGCTGTGCTATAGCAGCTTGACTAGCCCCACCTCCCATTTGTACAAGGCAACAGAAACAATGGCACGCCAAGCTCCATACGGTGCTCACGTATGATTGAAAGAAAAAAGAAAAGAAAATAACATTCTAGTGGTTGTTTATAAAGTACAGAATAGATGCACACTTGGGTGTTTACAAACAAACAATTTTTGGGAAAAAAGGCAACCAATATAAGACGCTATAACAGAAAGGGGTACACTTAAAATTTCATGCATTTACAAGTACTGGGTGTAATTTTTCTGGGTTTATAGTTCCTTATACAAACAGGTTTAATATATCACTACTTGAAAGGAGACGCAATTGCTGTCACAATCATCTAATCATCTGATCCAGTAATCATCTGATCCTTCTCTTGCATTTAACACATCTATTAGTGCATCTAGCCTAGTATTATTTGTGTTGTCTTGCTCCTAGACAATCTTTTGGCAATTTGGCTGGCTGGTTTTCAGCATGTTCACCACCTATTTTGTGATTTGCATGATTGTATGAAGGAAGTGAAAAAATTTCATGTGAATGCTTGTAAAAAAAATGGTGGTAGTGTATAATCAACAGCTTGTCTTAGCTGTTAAATTATGCCTGCTGGCAGATGCTTGTTCATAAGAAGGGACACTGTATGAATAAGCATATTTATATAATTCAGGGGAGCACAGTGGTTGGGAGTGTGCCTAAACTTCGTACTTCTCAAGAGTCCACCTCGCAAATGTTAAAGGAGCCTTCACTTTGCAAGCTTCATTTTTTTTTTACTTGTGGGCATAGGTCAGCAAAACTTGTGTAACTCGCTCTTGAAATATATTTGGAGCTTTTGACTCACTCGTACTCAAACTCACGATTTCCTAAGCCGGACTTGCTCGGACTCACACTCACGTAAATTTTCTTCAGCTGGACTCTCTTGGACTCGAACTCACCAAAACATTACTCACCCGGACTCGCTCAGACTCAGACTCACAACTCGATCTGAGTCTGAGTTTGAGTGGGTCGAGTGAGTGGGTCGAGTGGTTTGAGTGAGTCCATCAGCCTAGAATTAGCTTCTTCGACCGTGGTGTCAATGCTCGTTATCACCAATATCTTACATAATTGGTGATCTTCTTGGCACGTTTGACATAGTATCTTTGAAAACAAGTTCTGAGGGCTGTCAAACCAGTAAGGTAACTTTTATTGGAAGAGGTCACAGCATAAGACATAATAATCACGAAATTATCTGAAAGAGTTAATGAGGGAGGTCAAGGCATTCCCCTACGTAATCCACATCTCTAATTAAATATTGAAACGGTGTATGAGCAACACTGCTTTGGATCACCTGTGAATAGACGTGAGTATAAACATGAATTCTGGTAAGGCTGATCATCATCATCATCAGCCTGACTACGTCCACTGCAGGACGAATGAGCTAGCCCTCTCAGGGCTAGCTCATTGATTGGCTTCTTGCGTATCAGTTTCAGTCATTCCTTCTTCAAGTCTAGGCGCATTCGAGACCGTACCATTCTATGGTCACTGCATCATACCTTGCCAACCACTTCCACATTCTGCACGATTCCTGGGTGTGCACTCATTATAAAGTCTATTTCGTTCTTATTTTCGCCATTAGGGCTTCCTTCATGTCCACTTGCGGTTTTCTCGTTTTCGGTAGAAGGTATTCAAAATCCGTAAATTATTGCGTTCTGCGAATTCTATTAATAGCTCTCCTCTGGCGTTTCTAGTACCGATACCATAATCTCCTACTGCTTGGTCTCCAGCCTGCTTCTTCCCTACCTTTGCATTAAAGTCGCGCATCACTATAGTATAATGTGTTTTTACCTTACTCATTGCTGATTCCACGTCTTCATAGAAGCTTTCAACTGAAGCGTCATCATGGCTGAATGTAGGTGCGTAAACCTGTACTACCTTCATCTTGTATCCTTTATTCAGTTTAATTACGATACCTACCACCCTTTCATTAATGCTATAGTATTCCTCTATGTTGCTAGCTATGTTTCTGTGAATTAGGAACCCCACTCCCAGTTTTCTTCTGTCTCCCAGGCCCCGATAGCAAAGGACGTGCCCATTCTGCAGCACCGTATAGGCCTCATCTGTCCTCCTAACCTCACTGAGCCCTATTATATCCCATTTAACACCCTTTAGCTCCTCGAATAGTACAGCTAGACTTCCCTCACTAGATAATGTTCTAGCGTTAAACGTTGCCAAGTTCAGGTTCCAATGGCGGCCTGTCCGGATCCAGAGATTCTTAGCACCCTCTGCTGCCTTGCAGATCTGACCGTCGCCGTGGTCAGTTGCTTCGTAGCTGCTGGGGACTGAGGGCCGCGAGTTATTTGACGTATGCATTTGGGAGGTAGTGGCCAGATACTGCACCAGGGTGGCCAATCCTTCTCTGGTGAGGGAGTGCGTTTCTGGCGGTGGTTACCGGTGAGGCCGCATCCCAGGCCTCTTAATGCAGTTCCATCAACACGCGGATTTTTTTTTTAGTCCGGTTGGGAACTGCGCGGCACCGGGATTTGAACCACGGACCTCTTGCATGCGAGGCGGATGCTCTAACCACTACGCCATCGCCGCAGCCAGGCTGATAGTAATGCTGTAAATGACTAGATGGGACTTTAGGTCATCAAAAGTTAGTGGAACTCACTCAGACTCACTCATGAAATATATTTTGAGCTTTCGACGCACGACACGGACTCACCGAAATTTTCCTGAGCCGAACTCATTGAACTTACACTCACAAAAATTTTCTTCAGCCAGGCTCACTCGGACTCAGACTCAAGAAAATGTTACTCACCCTGACTCACTCAGACTCGGGCTCATTGCTCAATCTGAGTCTGAGTGAGTCGACTCATCAGTGAGTTCCCCGACCTGTGCTTGCAGGTGACGTAAACCAAAAGGTGGACAGTTAAGTGCTGCAAGAATGGAGTCACATGGTAACTGATGATAATCTAACATGTAAGATAACTGGGGCAGTGAATATGCAAATCTTAGTTTGTAAATGAATGTGTGAGCACTGCCATCCTGTCACTGTCTGGAAAGAACTAGTTTTCATTTGTCGTCATTCATGTGTACCGTCTTTGATGTGATGGCAGGTTTTTTTGCCATGAGCAATGTGTTACATAGGAACTAAGGCACGTTTTCCAGGTTCAGTAGTAGGTTGTAGTGCCATCTGCTAAACCATGTATCTTTCCTTTTATTGTAGTGCTACCAAGTTTACTCTGAAGTGTCGATGGCCTTATCCCAATCCCTCCCTTTAATTTAGAAGTGCATACGTGTAGATGTATGCATGTTGGAGTGCTAGAACATATATTTTGCACTGTGTGTGTTTTCACAAAAATCACCTCGGGTGCATTTTATATTTTTTTTTACTGAACATGTCATATGTTTTCTTCTGCGTGCAGATATTAGCAACATTTGATGCACTGAATACAATTGACATTGACAAAACTGTAAGCTATGTCAAGGAACTTCAGCAGGAAGATGGAAGTTTTTATGGTGACAAATGGGGTAAGGTTGCATTAGGCTCAGTTCTAGAGCTTTTAAGTTAACGTCATTATGTGCTCTTTTGAACTTGATGTGTACTGTGGTTTTTGCTGTTATTAATTTTGTCTTTTAAATTGAGTTGCCAGTAAACAGTTTTCTTGGAAGAACTCAGAGAGCCAATTTTTTTTAGTTATTTGGGCTTCCCCAAAATAACTGAACTTGGGTACTGTAATGTAAATACAGATGATTTCCAAAATTTACTGCATGATACTACAAGGATTTAACTGAGATGACACACAGATAAGTACTAAATAATGAAGAAGGGCCTAAAGAACAATAGTAATAGTATGATTAAAAAGGATTGCGAGTTGGGTGCATTTGTAGTACGTACTAAAATTCGCATCTTGAAACTACCAGACTGGAACAGAGAAAATGCTTGGACAAGTACTTCTTCGAGCTCTTTTCAATCCTTGAGCACCTTTTTTCTATTTTGCTTTGTTTAGCATTTCTAGTGGCAGTGTTGCATGTTCATCATTGGCTGATGAACCAAAGTAACTTGTTAATGATATTCCAAGCCATGGGCGTGCTTGTGGCTATGACTCTCGCTCAATGCGTGGCTTTCTCGAGGAGAATGCATGCTTTTCTGTATGAAATTTTTACTGTCTCTGCACCACAAGGCCATTTGATATTTTGCAGATGCAATTACTTACTGCTTGGTCTGTGTGTCATGCTCGTTCATTCGCACTGCTCACAGCTGAGGGGCTTTTTAAAAATTCTAACTGTAATAGGATGCACATTGAATGCCCCTTCTCTGATTAAAATCTGTACAGGATGGATGCCAGTGATAGTATCCAGTCATTGATTAGTCATCCACCTTCCTTTATATCACTAAGTATACAGCTGCTTGGTATAATCTATTACAATTATTCTTTTATCACTGAAGCATGTGAATATGGCTTACATATCTGTTTTTGTTTTTTTATTTCAGGTGAAGTCGACACTAGGTTTTCTTTCTGTGCTGTAGCATGTCTAGCACTTCTGGTAAGTGCATCATATCTTTTGCTTCAGCAGTATCTTTGGAGCGTGCATCAGCTGTGAATAGTGTAATTTTGTTAAACAGCAGTGCACTTAAGTAGCCACCTGCTGTTGTTTGTGCCATAGAATGAACGGTCACTTATTTTACTAGTGGGTAGACCAAGTATACCCACCTTTCAATGAGAATAGATAACCTACCAGAGAGGTGTAAGGTCATGTTTGTGGCAAACATTCTCTGTTTTGGCCTGTTAATGGGTTGTTGATGAAGCAGCATTACTTAGAATGATATTCTCTATTTAAATTGAATGTAAAAAGGATGCAAAGCTTATTCTGTTTACAGGTTTCATTTGAAGGAATTAGCTGATATTGTCTAATAGGGAGCTTTTAATTATCACGATGTCCTATCTACAGCTTGATGTCTGCTGTGGACCTTGACTGAAATGAAGCATAAAATTGGAAAGAACAGTTTCGAGTTGCTAAATGGTATTGCACATGATCTATGCCAGAGTAGTGCCCAAGGTGAACATTGGGTCAGAATTTGACACTAATGAGTAAGCTGTCACCATGTGACAGCTTACCATGTGAAAAGGCTCACCATAAGAAAAACCATATCACCTTCACAGCTGAAGTCTTCAACTGCGAAGGTGACATGGCTTTTCTTTTTCTCTTTTTATATATTTGAATTTTTAATACTTAGCTATTATTCCCTAATCTATTGCTGTAGGGACTAGCCAGGGTCAGTTACAATGCAACAATTTACAGTGCTGTTGAAGTATTGCATTTAGCTTTCTCTGCTGTATAGTTGTTAGTCTCAAGTTCTCTGTTGTTTATCTGATAGGTTGTTTTTCTGAAGTTTCGCTTCTCAGCAAGCTAGTGAACTTTGTTCCTGATCTCAGCTGCCACATTATAATGCAAACAAATGCTCAACCGGTGATGTATCCAAATCTGTCAAAGAACAACAGAGTTAATGTGGAGCTCTGCCACTACGGCTTCTAATTAATAGTTTGTTGCTTACCTTTTAGGTTGTAAAGCAACTGTAGCAGTTGTGTGAGTGCGGAACCTGCCTTACTTGCACACATCTTGCATTTTTCTTGAGTATTTTTTCTCGAGTATTGATCACACCCTTCAACTAGTCTGATGTGACTGTAGGTTGAACTTAGGCCATCAAACAAGAGTTTCTGAGGGAGTAGAGCCTATGATTTTAGAGAAATTGTAAGTTCTGTTTGAACTAACATATTGTTTGAGTTCAACAATCCCAGTTTATGGCCACTTCATTTTCTAATGGTCCGCCTTGGAGGCTCTTGTGGCAAAGTTTTTTTGCATGATCAACTTTCCAACATTTGGTTTTCCACACACACATACACCCAAACACACACAGTGTAATAATTATGAGAGTAAATATGACACTGAATCTGCTATGTTTGTGGCAATGAACTTTAACACTTCCCATAAAGCAGTCACCGTCTGAAATTTTCCGACACACACTTGAAAGGTCATGAATATGTCAAAATGCAACAACACATTCCAGTTAGATTTGTAATGAGAATTATAGTGAGAGACAGGAACAATGTTGTGCACACACGGGACCAGTGCTGTACCACAAAATGAGGTTTACCTAATGCTAAATATATTTTCTTATATGTATGATAAATGCTAAGGCTCTTTCACACATTATCATTTAGAAAATTTACAGAATAGAGTAGAGTCTTTCAGTATGAAAAATTCAATTTTCAGTCTATGGTGCAACTGTATTCCTGTGTGTGCTTGTATATTTGTCCTTATAAATGCGATAGCATTAAAGAACCTGTTTCGCAGAAATTTCGAAGCTGGCATTATTGGTTTTGAGTGAAAAATCATCTTGTCCATGGCCAAAAGATCGAGAAGGATGCAAATAAAATAAGTAATAAAAATGTTCAGCTCGAGTAACAATCGAACCCAGACTGTTTGCGTGGCAAGGAGGTGTCCAACCACAGAGCTACGCGATTGTTAAAACAGCTTCGGAAAAAGAAACTATATAAATGACGTGTAGTGTAAGGAGTCTCCTTAATGCTTGTAATATTGTATGGAAGAAATGTAGAGTACGTCAGGTGTCAAAACATGTGAATTGCCATAAATGGGTGTTCAAAGGAACACCCGTTACAAAGCACTCAGATATTGTAGGCCCGCGTACTCAGATTTGGGTGCCTGTTAAAAGAACCCCAGGCGGTCGAAATTTCCGGAGCCCTCCACTATGGCGTCTCTCATAATCATATAGTGGTTTTGGGACGTTCAACCCCACATATAAATCAAAGCACTCAGATATATTTAATCATGGTCAGCTGAAAAAGCATCAGCTAAGAAAGTAGCTGCATGGGTTTCCATAGCCTTACAGACATGTAGACTGCCATTCGTGATTCACAAAAGGAACAATTATGGCATAATGGGCGCTTCACAACTGCACTTGCAGTAGGCATGCTAGGATAGCTTGAAACGACCAATATTACACACACACTTCGTTTCCTTATGGTACGGTTGAGGCATGTGCCAAGAACTGAAGCCAGGCTAGCACTTGAAAAGGCATTGTGCACAGGGCCTGATTGTGCTATCGTGTTCTACTATTGATCATGAAGCTCAAGCGTCCTCTCAAGTTTTTTAGATGTGAAGCAGCTCTTTGATTAGCCTCTGTAACGCTGTCCCTCCGTCCGCACCGCGCTCCCCTAGGTCACGCCTAGACCTGTGCGCCGGTACTGAAATTGCCGGCGGCGGCGCGCCAGTGTTTCCACCTTTGGCGGCGGTGCGGCGCGGGGGGAGGCGGGAAGTGGGGTAGGATCAAGATTCAAGAGTTGGTGGGGATATAAACTTGTACGTTGAATTTTGAAAAAAAAAAATTGTTTCCCCGGAAGGGCGAATTATTTAACATGATAGCAGCATGGTCTAAGGAGTATTTATTTATAAATACCGCTCTCTCATTTTTTGATACATAGCAGGTGTAAATACAAATGTTCAGCACCTTGAACAAATTTAATTCAACAAAATTAGTCTTTAGCGATTTTGTTTCTTCAAATTACTCAGCATCGAGTCTGGGCAGACCCATCAAGCTCATTCCAGAAATGCACGTTCTGCAGAAAAAAAAAAAAAAAAACTAAGAAAAGAAAACGAAAACAATACTGAGTTGATCTAACAGGCACAATATTTAGAGGATCAAATTACTGTGCGCAGAAGATGATATGGGTGCTAAAACATTCGAAGTAATGTGAACTGTCATGCAGAAAGGTGACCTCTTCGCAAAAGTGAAGATGTTCGAGAGGAGCTGCCGCGATAAAACATGCGGATGCGAAGCAGGTGAGACACGCTGGTTATAGGGACGAAATATAAGCAGTATTGCTTCTTTTTAAAAGTGAATATAACATAGTTATGTCATGTTTGTAGCGAGGCAATCAAACAACCAACATATATTCGAGTCTAAACAAAGTCTTATGCGTTGTCAGTCAGCATTGTTTTGTCGTGTTGCTTAACGTGCGTCGGAGACACCAAAGTTTTCGGAGAGCTTGTTGCAGATTGTTTCGATGTATGTGTGCCTTCTTAAATTTGATGTGAGAGTTACACCAATGTATTTAAACTGCATGACTCCTAGTGGACTTACACCATCGTTAGTATATGTAAAATGAGCAGGCTGTTTCTTATTAGAAAAGGTCGTGACTACAGTCTTTTTGATATTCACTATTTCAGTCCCGCTATAAAACGACAAAAAAAAAACACTATTCAATGCATCTTGATCGTGAGTAGTATAGATGGTTCTACAGGTAACGCAGTCATCTTCATACATTTCAAATTTAATTTGAGTATAAACGATAATTTTTTCTCAGTCATATTTATAAATAATAAGCAAAAACGGAACAACGATCTAGCCTGAGGCACCTTCTTGATGTGATATGTATGTCAGAGGACTTCGGGTGGTTAATGGTAAGAAAGTTTAAGCGGGACAGCAAGTAATCTGTTATCCATTGATTGATATGTGGGGTTTAACGTCCCAAAACCACTATATGATTATGAGAGACGCCGTAGTGGAGGGCTCCGAAAATTTCAACCGCCTGGGGTTCTTTAATGTGCACCCAAATCTGAGCACACGGGCCTACAACATTTTTGCCTCCATTGGAAATGCAGGCGCCGCAGCCGGGATTTGAACCCGCGACCTGCGGGTCAGCAGCCGAGTACCTTAGCCACTAGACCACCGCGGCGGGGCAGTAATCTGTTATCTAATCAACCAGCTTGTTGTAGCCAGAAAGTTTGTAGAAAAGCTAAAGCTTTAGCTTGGCAGACCAATTTAAAGACCTACGAATAGTCAATAAATCTGACACCAACCTGTTTTCGGCTGCTAAGGTAAGAAGCAATGTTGTGCGTAAATTTAAGCAACTGTGTAGCAACAGTGGAATAACCAGCACGAAAGCCGTGCTGTGATCATGAACGTATATTGCGTGCATTTAGGTATTCTGCAATCTACTTCATAATCATATGCTCTAAATGTTTAGAGCTGGTAGTAGGCAAAAATATTGAGCCATATGTCAGTATTATTTGCTCGTTTAGGACATTAATGTACGATGTTTACTAATATCCACAGCTGAGGAACAGCTGCAGAGAATATAAATTTTTCAAATATTATAGTAAAATAGCACGCCATTCTGAATACCACTTTAGAAACACATTTGGAATACCGTCTGAGTCGCACCATTTCAAAACCTCAACATTTAGTATAAGGTTATGTACTCCAGAGGAGCTTAATTGAAGATTAGAAAGAGCAGGTAGTTATCAATACAAAAACAGATTTGAAGTAATTATTAACAGCCTTTGCTGCAGCTTCAGGATTTGAGGATCATTTGACATAAAGAATAAACGTTGAGGCTATACACGATGCTAGACTAATCGTCCTTTAGACCCTGAATAAATTTTTTTAGTAAATGTAGCGATGACATTGTTGAAGTAGTAGTTCTTAGCTTCTTTCAATATAGCTTCTAATTCATTTTTTGATTCTTGTAATTTATCCATGACGATTGAAGCACTTCGTGCGACGAGTGAAATCAGTTATATCTTTAAGGGACATGGGTATTTTGGGTTCTATCTAATATATTTTTGGGGTGCATACTTTGATAGGCATTCATGCACAGTGTCGCAAAAATCAAGAAGAAGCGCATCTACATAGAAAAGTTCGTTACAAGCTTCAAATTGCTCAAAAGGCGAAGCTTAAGTGTCTAGTAGGGAAGTGTCATCAACTTTCAGAAATTTCAAAACAATTTTATCTCATGTCTTCGAGGAAAAAACACGCTAGGTATGAGGCAGTTTCAACAGTTTTATGGTCAGAAAACCCTTCGACAATTTAACATTTTGCACCATGCGATAGGAACACGCAGCCCCATAACGAGCTTAGGCTGCAGCTGACTTATTTTCATCTGCTCTCTCGAAACTGCCAACCACTGGTATATGGAAATGCGGCCGCTCCCAGGAAAACAGCAGTGTTTGTGAAGTAATGTCATAGCACGTAGAAGGGGTATACGAGCCGTTCGCTCATACTTCCCGCAATAGCACACACTAGCACTTGTGTCCACGCCCTCACAATTAATGTTCACAGTTGCGGATCGTGCCACACAGGTGCCTGCCTGAGTATCTCGTCATACTCCTTCGCCCAGCAAAAGACAGACAGGGCTTCCTCTGCAGTCGAGGAATGATTCGTGGTAGGCATAGAAGTGATGTTATCGCATGCGCCCGCCCTGCGATGAAAATGACCAGCTTGTTTCATCTATGCTTCAGCAGCGTTCCTCGCTAGCACTCACAAGATTTTATCCGCGGAAGCAGCATTGTGGTTGAGCACGGAAGTTATTGTTTTGGACTTTACATGGAGTATGACCAGGACAGTAAAAGGCTGTAGAAAGTGTTATAAAAGTATTCTTGCAATAAAAAAATTACAAAAAAATCGTCAAAGTGGCTTGGCCTTTTTTATGGAGAGCTGTGTCGTCTTTGCTGTAAGAAACTCACTGCTTGGTTGGATGAAATATTCCGGAGCCTCTTCCTTTATTTTTGATTTCTAATACACTCCACTATATATATATCACTAAAATTCTTAGAGGCCTCTTCGGCGTGTCTTCATGAAGCACGTGAGTAATGTGAGTGCTAAACGTTGAGCCAATCAGGATTTCGAGCTTAAGGGCTACACTTTGTTATTTCCACTTGTGCAATCGCAAAATCACAAAATCAAGTGAAATCAAACGTTTATTGCACGTGATAATCATGCAAGATGCGAGGCGGAACAGGAGGAGTGGGGTGAATTCATGGCAAAGCAGGGTAGAAGACAATTTACAAGTGTTATTTCTCCTATATGGATCATTGAAGAGTGTGTGCCCTTATTATGTCACGTGAATCACCGTCCTGGCATCACGAAGAGCACCAAAAGAGCGAGAAATGCCGAGAGAGATTGACACGCTCGATTGTGTGTCTTCAGAAACTGTTTTAGGGCCCTTATATAGACAGGCAATGCAAACACGGACAAAACATAACAATCAAGTCACTGCAAACGCCGCTCTGAAAAATCTCAAAGCTGCAGGAAAGAAGGTGAAGTGAGGTATTTTATGCCCAGATTCTTCGCTTGATTTGCTTGATTGATATGTGGGGTGTAAAGTCCCAAAACCACCATGTGACTATGAGAGACGCCGTAGTGGAGGGCTCCGGAAATTTCGACCACCTGGGGTTCTTTAACGTGCACCCAAATCTGAGCACACGAGTCTACATTTACTCCTCCATCGAAAATGCAGCTGCTGCAGCCGGGATTCGATCCCACGAACTGCGGGTCAGCTGCCACCTTAGCCACTAGACCACCATGGCGGTGCGATCCTTCGCTTGGATTAAATAACAAAAAATGGCGGCGTGCCGCAGTTATTGGTCGGCGCGAACGGCGTAAGCAAAAATGGGTGGCGGCGGCGCACAGCTCTAGTCTTGCCTTTCCTCGCAGTGTGTTCACCTTGATGTCACCCTCTCCCTAGCCTGTTGCTGCTCGCAGCGTGTCACCTCCCTCGCTTCTCCCTCTCCACCACCCGCAATGTTCGAGCGCACGTCGTGTGAACAGTCTTTTTGCGATAAAACTTACAGGAAACCCAACCAACCTCCCGTGTCTTTGCATTTCAAACAAACGTTCACTCGAGTAAACGCTACACGAAGTTTCACTTCAAACCGTTCTTTCAGCACCCGTGTTGATGCCCGTTTCAACCGGGTCAGCGCCGTGTGCACCGCTGCTGCTTTGCATTCTATTAGGGTTCCTTTCAGGGAGATGGTCCCTAATTTTGTTTTTCATGCCGTTAATACTTGCAGTCTGCACGGGTTGCAGGAAAGGTAGTGCACATTGTAGTTAATGTGATACAGGTAATGTGCAAAATATTGTACAACACTGTCTCAATTTAGGTGTTGATTTTATTTATGTTTAATCTAGCCTTTGTTGATATTCTTTTATTGTGAGCTGGGAAATATTTTTGACTTGGCTCGTGTATATGTGTTAGCAGTTTGGCATTAGCTCTTTGCAGGACATGTACGTCCCACTTTTCAATCTGCAGAAAAAAATTTTCTCCCACATCAATCATTGCTATTAGCATAATAAGTCACTCATACCTTACCTGTGTCTTTGCAATATGGAATAAATTTTTTACCATGCTTTACAATAGTGTTACAATAGCATTGAATTTCTGTCAATTTTTTTTATGATTGCATCTGAATTTTCCTCGTCTTCAGATAGATAGAACATACCAATCAAAGTTCTAGATGATTTCCTCTATTTCTGTTTTTTTCAAAGAGGTGATTTTAGCTTTCAGTGTTGACTTGTTTTGTATGTTTGTGCAATAACTTGACCGATAAATGCATAAAAACAGTCTCCTGTGAAATTATCTTGCTCATGCCTCCGCACACAATTGCGGATATTCATGCATGCAAATATATATATATTTTTCGATATTGTATACCTCTTCGAAAGTAGGCACGTATTCAGGGACAACACTGTACTCTACAGTTTTGAGAACAAAAGCTAGCAGAGCCTCCCCCCCCCCCCCCCCCCAAAAAAAAAAAAAATGTTGGTGCCTGCAGGGAAGCAAGTTTTGCAGGAACAGACCACCGCGTTATGAAGGTTCACAAGAGGCGCAACTGCAGGCGGTGTTTTCCTGCCGAAATGAGGTCCACACAACTTTCCTCAGCATAGCTTGAAAAGCGATGCTTTGTGCCACTTGCTTCAGTTGCTTCATCCCAAATACCAATTCAAGCAATTGTGAGGTGGTGCCTTCCTGAAACAGTGGGACAGTGTTTTCCCACTTTTTGAAAACACTCTCACCAGTTCTTTTCAGCAAACAAGTAGCTTTATTTTGAGAACATCTGTTTTATACTATTTCTTTGTAGTTTATATCAATATACCAAAGCCACTTTTTTTTTATCACCGTGTCAAAATTTTAAGCTGACCTACTAAGGGTTAAAATGGTTTAATGCTTGCATAGCATGTCTTTTTACTCTTGGTGTTGTAATTTGTTTTGGCAATGAACTGTATCCATAGGATTTGCAGGCATCTGTGTATTGTTAAGTCTGCATAATAACCGAGTGAAGAGTAAGGGTTGTGTCATTATAACCTTTCTTTTTCAAGTCGGAGAAGTTTTTGTTGCAAAATTTAATGTTAAAGTCATAATCTCATGTGGTTTCATGATGAAAGATGCTTTCCAAAGTTGGCTGATTATGCCCCTCTCAAGCTTTGCCCTCTTCCTTTGCAGAACAAACTTCACGCTATCAACGTAGAAAAGGCAGTTGAGTTTGTAGTGTCCTGCATGAACTTTGACGGTGGTTTTGGCTGCAGACCAGGCTCGGAAACGCATTCAGGCCAGGCAAGTCATCTCCAAATGCAAGCTTATGATTTCATTGCATGGTAATGATTTGTGGTGCCCAGAACCACTTGACGGGCTTGTTGACTGAACACATTCTTCCAATATGAGATGGTGCTGTGAACATCTCAGCCAAATTAAGTTGTCGGGTGTGACTCGTGGAGTTCATAAGTATAGTGGAAAGTTGACTTTGCCAAATACCCTCTGTTAGAACGGATGCAGTGTGTCGCCTACCTGGTGCTATGCTTCGACAACGTCAGACAGATTCTCATAGGCAGCTCCTGTTAGCCGATTGTTGCCAGGAAGCAAACAGGAGGTTTACATCAATGTGGTTCTTTCTAATCTACTATCATTGGTGTAGTTAGCAGGCTGTAGTAGTTGAAAGTCGGTGTTTTGAACTTTGAAAAGAATTATGCACTCCTTGAGTAACCAATTGTAATCAGCTCACATTAGCCCATGCATACTCAATAATAGGGAAATGTATAGTGCTGTAGGCAAGGCAGTGCTGGTGTCTTAGAATGATGGACATTGAGCACAGATGAAGCAAAGCTCTCTGCTCATATCAGAATAGTTTTGGTAATGTATTTTAGAGAGTCATTTAACTGGTTCTAAAGCATTTAGAAACATAAATCAAACATAAATCAAAGAAAAGGTGGCTCAGGGCCCCTTTAGACACTTCCGGTGTGCAGCATTTTGCTTATGTACTCTTTTGTGCAAAGCAGCAGTTAGCATGAGCACACAGTTACATGGTAGTGTTAAATATCTGATTTTAAAGGAGCCACATTTCACCAAGAAGGGATTGAAGGTCTGTTAAAGAGAAAATTTATTTTTATTGCATTAGTAAATTACTCTTTCCCAGTACTAAAATAGCAAACGTGAGCAAACGTGCAAAAAAAAGGAGATAGTGACGCCACCTTGAAGCTTCTGCACCAATTGCCGGGACGTTATAGATTTTGAAGGCTTCATCTAGGACCTACACAAGTTCCTAATCAGCACAAAAGAAGTTCCTTGTCCTCTGAAGAGGCCAGAGACATGTGGAGATTTTCGGGCTAAATATAGAAATGAAACTTTGACATTAATTTTCTTCTCTATTACTGAACCTGTGGTGGTGTAAATGAGAACTTTAGAGTTCTTCAAGTGTGATTAATTAGTCTAAACTGATTCATTATTTCACTTTAGTGTTCCTTTAAGCTTTTGTTGTATGGACGAAAATTGCTTGTGCCTGTTTGGGAACAAAATCTGGAGGTAAGTCCTGCAGTTGTTAGGTACCTGCATCAGTTTTATAATGTATTTGATAAGGTGTTTTATGAAGTCTGAGGTATATATTCAATTCAGATGTGGGATGGACAGCTGTACTACGGGCATCAATGTTACTGTCTTACGAATGGACAGTGTTGCAGGCAGCATAGTAAAGTGAGTGAGGTTATTTTTGCAAGTTTAATCTCTGTGATGTCAAAGCTTGTGCAAGCTTATCTACTTTGCAGTAAAAAGTGCACAAAGAGGAGGGGGAGAGACACCAAGAATGCCTGTGAACTGTCAGCAGAGCAAGAGTGATTGCCTTGGGACAATTTGAGCTATGGCCGCCCATACATGCTGTTTATTTCGTAGTGTTTTTAGTGGACAAAGCGTGTATATGTCACTCCACAGATATATTGCTGCCTTGGAACCCTGTCCATACTTGGTCGGCTTCATCATATTAATGCTGACCTTCTTGGCTGGTGGTTATGTGAAAGGCAACTTCCATCTGGAGGTCTCAATGGTAACTGATTTCCTGTTGTTTATACTCTAGTTTAGCCTAAATTTCTAGTTTAGCCTTCATTGTAGTTCACATCTTGGGTTGTGCCATTGCCTCCTCTATTTTATCAATGCCAGCCAAATGTGCACGATCCAGCCATTCACTACCCGTTCCTCTAGCCCATTTCTGTTTTCGCCCATTGCCTAGCCTTTGCGAGGGCTTTGTGGTCATGGGTTAGAGAGCCCATCACATATGTAGTGCCTCATTACAGAAATTACATGAAGTAATTTTTTGTTCAGCTGTGTACAGATCCATGGGGCGGTGTCTTGCATTCCTCGTGTTCTGGCTCTGTGAAACATATGGTGTTTTCAGATAGTGTGGAGCCGTTCATGGCGCTATGCGGACAACCAATGGGGAAGTGTCACTACAATGCTACTGCATGCACTGACTTTAAGAGCACTGTGATGCAGCAGTAGCATTGCTTTGAGTCACAAAGAAAAGGAGCCTGAAGAAACAAATATGACAAATGTATGATATTGGAGTGGGAAACACGTCTATCACATCGTTGGGGGAAAGCACTCAGACGCACGTGTGACGTGAGCAGCGCTCTCCATCATGTAGCGTCTTATCACGTCAACTCCCTGAACTAAGGCGGACCGACGGCCCCCGTTGATAAGTGCGCGTTCGCACTGGCATTAAAAGAAATAAAGGAGGTGCTGGTTGTGCAAACCCTTTGAAAGCTACAGAATGCATGTGTCCGCAGGATTTTATCTTTCTTTTTTGGGGGGGGGGGAGGGGAGGTGGTTAGCGGTGGTGTGCATAGTGTTGCATTGCGGTTAGGGAAGGAGGAGAGCACTGGTGTAGAGAAGGTGGAGGCAAGTGCCCCTTTTGCAACCCCTTAGCTGATGTTCATGACAGCATGCATTCTTGCTTTTAGGTAAATTTTTGATGTTTTTAAAAGGCCCTTCATGAGGTACCGTAACAAATTATAGTTCATTCATCGTGAACTTTCTTACAGCGCAACACCAGAAAAAAACCGAATACGAGGTGCACCTCGTATTCTGCGCATGTTGTGATGTAGGCTGCCGGGACCTATATATACTTTTGACCCCGTTTTTTTTTTTCCAATAAACAACAGTTGTGAGTCAGCGCCGTCTTTTCTTTCTGTTCTACTACTTCCCTGTCCTGTATTTTTTTCTGGTGTTGCGCTGTAAGAAAGTTCACGATGGATCCTAACCAACTGGCCCAACTTACCGCCTTACTACCTTATAGTTCATCGTTGGCAGTTTTTGTGTGTCTGATGAAGAGCATTATGCCACAAGAATTTTTTCAATCAGTTCATTATGAGCTGAGAAAACCAGTACTTTGAAGTGGGTGCAAAACCATGATGAGAGGAGGCAAGCTCAAAACGCTTGCCGCTCACTCCACGTAGCCTTCGCAGGCCAAGTCCTACCCTCTCCGGCATCCGAGTGAGAGGAACACGTCATGTGCACATCAGGGCACATGCGCATGACACATCTGAGGCAGCCAAGGCCCCCAAGCAGAGGTTCGGTGTTTTTTGGCTGACCAGCGTTATTTTGCAGTCTACTGCCTCGCCGATCATCAGGCTTGCAACCTGTTACCGAGCAAGAGAACTGCGACATTTCACTGGCATGAGAATCGGGGTATCATGAGCCAGCGCTGCATTAACGTTCACTCGGAGGCAGTTGAATGAATGAGAATAATGAGTGCTCGAACGCGCCAGACCATTACTTTCATTTCCAGGCCCGATGTCTGCTCGATGTGTTAATCATGAGGACATGAACGCATGCGAAATGAAGGCACATTAGCCCCGCATATCGCTACAGTTAACGGAAAAAAAATGAAAAAGGCACACACATTTCCTTTGTGTGTCTCATTATTTCTGTCAAGTTTTATTCATTTATTCAAGCAATAAATTGCAGAAACTACACGTCTTGTCAAGTAATCTTCGCCGTGTCATGTGCCAATGTTGATGACATCAGAGCAGAGTTGTCTATGTAGAGGGCTGATGTCACTGCACTACCGTCTATGTAAGACAGTTCCGACGTCTACGTCATTCCCTCATTATTTGGGCACGAGCACATGAGAAACAGGGCAAGCCGCGTTCAGCTTGTAATTTGGCCCATTTTCGTGGCGCGTACTGTTGCAAATTTTGGCAGACGTGATCGTGAATGCCCAGTGTATGCAGCAGACGTGATCGTGAATGCCCAGTGTATGCATTGAACTTTACATCTCAAAATTATCAAACCTGTTGAGGGGCCCTGTAATGAATTCGGTACTTTTTTTTTTTATTTACCAGTACCTTTTGCTTTAAAATGTTCCTAAAACACATGTTGCCCATATTAAGAAAAGATTGCTGACATGCAAATGGGGACTAATGAATCTCTGAGCCAAGTACTTATGGACTGCATGCAGCGAAAGATCTAGAATCTTGTGTCTAAGATGACAGCAGGTACTGGTAGGTTTTTTGATTGTGAGAAACTTCTCAGTGATAGCATTTTTGTTCATTTTTAGTCTATTGAATAAAACATATTGTAGTGGAAGCAAGAGAGAGAACAAAGAGACAATGCCTGTATGCCTGGCTGGCTGTTCTTATTTTGCTCTTCTTTGTATGCGTCGTGCTCGCCGAGCTTGCGCAAGTCCCAAAGCGCCTCTCTTGCTTCCTTACAGTATATACATCTGTAATGTCATGAAAGCAGAAAATTTATCTCATGCAAGCTCTCATGGAAACAATCAGTGGTCATCGGCTTAGCGTTTTGTTTTCTCGCAACTTGATGTTGGGAGAAACACTGTGCCATTGGCTGCGAGATCGAGCATATTCGTCGCCTTACGGCAACTTGCCGAAGAGGCGAAGTGTGGATCGCTACGTGCCTTGTCTGCTGGCCACATCGCGTTTCTATGTACGCATACGTCATACATGTTCTCAAAGTGTAGTTTGTCCGGTCATGTCAGCGTGAGTGTCACTGCTTCTACATATGCCTGAAATGACGTACGAAATTACTTAGTCTTGCTTGGCTGCTAATGCATTGTAATAAGGTCAGTGAGTGCAACTTTCCAGAGTGCTCTTTATTGTTGTCGTACCCTCTATTCACCACAATAATTTCACAGTGGGTGCCGCTTTCTGTTTCAAGCACATCGGAAAATGCTCTTGGCATCCTCCCAAACATGAGGACTATTAGATGGTGTGTGAATGCAACGTTTTATAGCGTTTGGTTGTAAAAAAAAAAAAGAAAAAAATTAAGCCATGCACTTGTGCGCTGTTGGTAGGTGTATAACTACAGCACCGTCGTTCATTGATCATACGAGAAGCCTTAGTTGTGTTTAATTGGCGATGGTACCACTGCATAGGAATATTACTATCACATAAACTGTGACACATGGGTACTTAAACTTTACTTAAAACAGAGTTACTGTGCACAAACTGTGTTTAGATTTAAGAAGCTCAGACATTGAACATTTATTCAAACAGCATGCTTTATTTATTATGTTGTACGATTTCACTGAAAATTTTATCTTGTTTGCATTGTCTTCAGCATTTGTGTGGTATTGTTTGTGATCGACAAAGGCAGTGATAATTTTTGTCTAAAAAAAAAACATGCTTGTCCCATTAACCAGGCATTTGTTGTAGCACTGTCATGCACGCAATCTACCGATGAAAAGTTTTTGCTGAACTCTTATATAACTTTTTATATTCTTACTGGTGCAAGAACAGGTGTGTACACGTGGTAAACGCAGTGTAGCGCAAAGCGCCGTCAGCCACTAAGCTTTCCTGACTAAACTTATGCACTGTACAACATTTCGTAGTGAACATAATGACAGAAAAAAATCATATGTGTATAATGTGCTAACAGTAGTACTGAACTAATCGCACAGATATGCGGGATTTCTATGATCTTTCTTTCTCTCTTTTTTGTTCTATGTAGATGACAAAGATGTGAATAAGTAGTTAGTTAAGTCACGCTACTGCAGTGCGTAGCAGGCGGAACACAAGCTAACCACGTACAAGCAACACAGCAAAGGCGTGATTTAGTGCGAAAGCGTGAAGAGAGTTGCTTAAGGCGAACATCCTTATGAAAGGCAGAATGTGCTTTAGTCGCTGGTAATGTTAATGTTGCATAGGCATCGTGGACCAATTCATTAGAGAAGAGCGTAGATATTGACTGTAAACTGTAGTCAACTCACTTTATCTGCCAACAATCGGCTCAGACCGCATGCAATGAAATGCCGCTGCGTGTACAGTAGACTCTCAGTGCACGGAAATCTGTTTAACGAAGCTGCTGCTTAAATGGAACAAATGCTTCCGCAGGGGTGGAGCTTTCCGTTCATGCTTAAATCTTGTTAAGGTGGTGTTTGTGTGCATACCTCCTTATGCAACTCTATATACGTTTTGACAGCAAAGCTGTTAGCCAAACCATATAAACAGAAAAAATAAAAATCAGTTTCACCGGTGAAGTGATGACTGCAATAGCAAAAATTTGTTATGGTAATGGTAATGCCGCACGCGCTTTCTATTTTTGCTACCGCACCATTACGCGTGTAACGCTGCCTTGTGCAATCTGCTCCCGAATGACTGGGAACAATATAGATAATCTTAGAACCTTTCGATGATATTACGCGCACAACGGGTACATTAGAGTTTGTTCTGGAACTTACGCAGCCGCTAGCAGTAACGTGGGAATCTTTGATGGTACATGTAAAAAAGCCACGCACTTAGCTGCTTGGCAGATTATCGACAGCCAACGCCCTGGTTTGCAGCTATCAGTCTACAGCTTGTATTGCTTGTAGAGTGACGTTTTGTTTTCCGGGCACAGGTTCGCCCAAACAAGGTTCACTCATGAAAACTGCGGCTGCTGCCTTCGTCAACCTCACGACCCCGTGGCAATACGAAGGTTGAAAGCTAACACTTTTGAATCCGATATCGCGACACTCTGCAGAAACGCTGGTGTAAAAAAAGACGTACGGCCGCTCCAGGGCGAAATGCTCTTATCGCGCAATCTCTTTCTGAGAGGGCACCACGTAGAACGGTTTACCAGCCGCGCGCTGATTCTTGCGGATAGGGCGCCCAGCTTATCACAACCACGCCCTTAGAATCAAAGTTCACCTCTGCCCCCCCCCCCCCCCCCCCCACACACACACTCCCACTTTCTGCCGCGCATTTTTTTATGCTTGTTCAAGATGGGCGGCGTGTTTCCTCTCTGCTTGAGCATTCGACGGTAGGTCTAACACGCGGTGGGATAGTATCGCGTGCGCCCGCCCTCCAAGCGATGGAGATCGGCCGCCTCCTTTAATCTCTGCTTGAGCGGCGCTCACCACCCCCGCTTGCGCAATTTTAGGCGCGGGTAGAACGTATACGCAGAGAATGTTACCAACTTGTAATTTACGCGGAACATGGTGGTGACGGTGAAAACCCAAGTGCCCATGGAGTTCCTATAAAAAAAATCACTCAATTGCCTAGCAGTGGCGTGGCGAGCCCATCTAAATTTCTTCGCGGTTCTCATGCTGGCTGTGGCACTTCAATAACCGGAACATAAGTTTTTTGCATTTATTTTTATAGAGCCTTATCAGTTTAGTATGAAGATAACATTTATTATACTAGTTCATCTCTAGTTGAGTTGCTGTTCATGTTATATGTAGTGTTTTAATCACATTTTGAACATCGTGACATTTTAAAATTAAATTTTTCATTCGTCTGAGTAGCTGTGTTTTCCACTGTATTGTTGTAAGGTTTTATATATATAGATATACACCCATAAATTTGGGGTTAGTCTGGTTTCTTTATCAGCAGTAAATGCTTAGTAAAAACCGTTCAATTTTTTCGTGTTGATGAGAAAGCAAAGAGAAAATGAAAATTTTAATTAACAGTGATGTGGGCCCCATGAAAATGCTCAAAAACTAAATTTTGATGCTCCAAAACACGCCTTTTACTGCTCCAAAGCTGCTCCAAAACAGTGTTATTTCTGCTCCCAAAGCTGCTCCGAAAGACTGAAGCCCGCTTCCACTCCTGCTTCTGACACAATTGGTTTCGTTCTTGCATTGTGCACCCCTGTTCATCTCTCCGTAAACGGAATTCCTCTTAAGGGAAAAACATTTTACAGGTACCTTCAGGTTCTGTTTAATGAGAGTCAACTGTATTTGTATACGCGCTGCCGACCGCCTATCCTCACTCTCGTGGGAACGGTGCTGCCACCTATAGCCCGATCTTGCCACGAATAGTCAGTCACTTGTCTTGTTCTGTGGCCAACGCAAAGAAGGAAAAATAAAGTGGAAGGGCCATGGCTATGACACATGACGACTTAACTTTGAGCCAGTACCCTGCCCTTTTGCCTCCCCCACCTCGTTCATATTCTAGTGTGCTCGTGGGGATGAAAGGATAAAAATAGCAAGTTGTAGCATGTGATTACTGCCTGTAGCTGTGCTGATACTCGAACTTGGAGTATTTTTTGGTGGGTCATTATTGGAGTGTTACAGTTTAATTCTATGATTACTAGGAAAGGTAGTTTAGGACCCTAGGAGAGGGGCACTAACAGTGAACCAGTGTAGACTGACAAATTATTTGTTTAGAACTCTATGACCAATAATTTTTGGGCTATAGGTTATTATAAGAAAGGTAGGTCAGATTTTCATTTTTGAATATTATGCTGAAATCCTGACACTGAATGTTGATGTGAAGTCATGAATTTTAATGCCCTTTTTTTTTTACTTTGGCCACATTGGTTCAATAAAGCTTTGCGAAAATTCTTATATTAAGTGATTATCTTGTTTACAACACAGATTTATTAGTTTATACTCCAACCTTCTGGAAGGAACTGTGGGGATATTAGGGTCGTCCTGGTGGTATCAGGCTGTGTATAAACCACTGCTGTGAAGCGATAACAAACACTTAAGCCAAGTGAATAATCGGGTAGCGTTTGCAGTGAGCGATAACACAGAATTGCTCTGGGGTCTGCCAGCATGCTTTTTATTGCTCTGTTTTGGTGATGTTTGTGCACGTGGTTTTCTACCATGATTCGTGTGCACTGCACTCTTGAGAACCAATCGGACACGACATTCTGGACGGGTCGACTTGCTAGAGGCAAGATGTTTACTTTTCCACTCAGCTTGTTAAAAGAGTGGTGACATTGCAGCATGCAGCTGCATATTTCTGCAGCATATTTCTGCAGCATATTTTTATACTTCAAGGGCTATCTCTGACATGCAAAAGAAGAGAGCCACGTAAAATGTAGCCAGTTTCTAACAAATAAAATACACATTTGAAAAGTGACTTTTTAACACCTAATCTTGACATACCTGCCTTGTATACAGTGAATAAATAGTGAAGGGTCTATCACTAATGAATTGGTTAAGATGAGCACAAAAGAATAGACACTTCTTTAGGTTGCATGAAAATGAGCCCAAGCTTATTGAAATAAGCTTAGGCTTGTGGTTCTGTTGTCTTAGGCCGACCTGAGAAGCTCCCAGATGTATGCTACTCCTGGTGGGTGCTTGCTTCATTGAAGATCATCGGAAGGCTGCACTGGATAGACAAGGTATGCCCTGTTAGGTATAATAAAGAAGGGGTAACTTATCATACCTTTGTTTGTTCTAAAGGAAAAAACCGTAAGTTTAAGGGCTCATTTTCTTTGTTTGACACAATAATAATCAAATCTAATAGACAATCCTGCCAAGGAATGTATAGGGGATGTTAGAAGTAATTGTAATGTAAATGGGAAGAAAGAAAAGTGAATGAAAAGGTAACTTGCTTGAGGCAGAGACCGAACCTGCGACCTTCTAATAATGCGTCTTACGTTCTACCAAGTGAGCTACTACAATGGCTATCACCCTGTCCACTTTGTGGATGGTGTTGTGGATGGGGTGAAAGTTGTTGCAGCAGCTTTGTTGATAGAGCATCGGATGCACTATGTGAAGGTCGCAGGTTCGGTCCCTGCCCCCGGCAAGTTGCCTTTTCGTTCACTTTTCATTCTTCACATTTACATGACAATTACTTCTAATAACATCCCCATAAGCACACTCAGTAAACAGAACCTGAAGAGACCGGGAAAATATATTCCATTTAACAGGAGTTCCGTTTACTGAGAGGTGAACATGAGTGCAGAATTCAAGCCAGAAACCAAGCATTGCACAGACAATAGTTCCGTTTAAGCAGCAGTTCCATTTAACAGATTTCAGTTTAATGAGAGTCTACTGTACTTTTCTTGGCATGATTGTCTGTTATATCTCATCAATAACTTGTTCTCTTTGTGTGTGTGTGTGTATTTGTTTACTTCAAAAAATTGCTTTTGTATTCTTCTTCGAAGACTGAGACTAATTTTCTTTGCCATGCAAACCGACATTTTACAGGAGAAACTACAGAACTTCATACTTTCATCTCAGGATGAAGAAACAGGTGGCTTTGGGGACCGGCCGGGAGACATGGTGAATAGTCGGGCTTATTTACATTTCATATCATAACAAATGTCCTTAGGATGATACAATGTGAGATTTGCTACCATATTTATGCTGTCTTGATGTGTAAAGTAAGTTATAAGGCATATGAATGTGGCACATGAATGCTGTTCTGTACTTAAGAACCGTATTAAAGTTGAAATGACCATAGAACAGATGTACAAAAGAATTGATGAAATGACATTAATTACCATATTTACTCGCATAATTTGCACCCTCACACAATTTGTGCACCCCTAATATATTGTCAGCTTTACAAAAAGAAATATTTACTCGCATATTTTGTGCTCTCTGAGCCAGCTCGCGCGACGGCGCGCGATCGAAAACTTTGAATCTTTGGATTCTGTGCAAGTGCACGCTGGGCCCTGCCGATCAGATGAGGGCAGTCAAACGGGCTGCGAGTGCGAAGTCCCTTCTTCTGAGGACTTCTCCCGAACTAGGAGTACTAAAATACCGTACTCTAACACCAAATCTATTTACTGGTCTATGTTGACGGGTCACCGGAACCGCTCGAGCGTTTTTCCAGTTCTATCCTGCATGATTTTTTTTCTCCCTATATCTCTCCATCTCTACCACCGTGGGCGTATCCGCTCGCGTCACAGCACAAATAACTTTCGGCACCGGAGGCTTGCGAGGGCCTGTCGTGGCAACTGTTCCTCTTGTGTCTGCGTCCACACTGCAACGCACGCTTGGTTGATTTCGGAATAAACTGTTTAGGTTTCGTCATCTGTCCACCGCGTTTTTACTGTTCTCTTGCGATGGACTACAGTAATTATACATACGACAAAATTCAAGCTCGCTGTTATAAACTGCTGATCAAAGGGTAATCGTAAAACCGCCAAGCGACCTAAAGTGTGAAGTGCTTCAACATGTCACGATCGGCGTGATTGGTGCCTATCGTCACAAGAGAAAGCAGAAGATTCCGCGCTTGCTAATACAAGTTTCCTGCCCGTTGAAGGCCTTTTCAGCTATGAGCGAACGCTTTGGCCCTCCGGTATTGCGGTGTCTTGGGACCTGGTTTCTCCCAGCATTGTCGAGAAGAGCTTCCAGAAAATGGGACATTCGAACGCGCTACCCAGAACCGAGGGCGATGTGCTTTAGAAGGGCGGGGACAGCGGCCGCGACGATGATTCTCAATCGAGTTTCTCGATCAGTGATTTCGACAAGACTGCACTTGACCAAATTTGACTGGTTTAGGTAGGTGCTAATTCTTTCAAATAAACAAGTTCACTTTATTGGTGCTCCAGGTTATGAACTTTTTAAAATTATATGCTGCGCGCGTTAAGATTATTGCACATTATTTTGTATGCGTTTGCCAAATCCTCGCGTAATTTGCACACCCCCTTGTCGGAGCCCCAAAATTGCAAAAAGAAAGTGCGTAAATTATGCGAGTAAATACGGCAATAAAATAGAGTGCTTATTTTTTAAGCCTCTGCTACTGAAATGCTGGAGCCTAATGAGTAGCCTATGGCACAGTGGGTTTATATGAATGTATATGCACTCAAACATTGACATAACGAACCCAGATATAACAAAATATGTTATAACGAAGTAAATTGAGGGTAGTCTTGCAATAGATGTAGTGTTAGAAGTACACCTTTATAAATAATTTTTGTTTATAACAAAGTAATTTTTATGTGATATTTAACTTTGTTATAGTGCGATTTGAGTGTATATTGGTGGGAGATCACGTGGGATCTTGGCGGATTTTATGCTTGTAAATGGAAAGTTTTCATGACTTCGTCCTGTGTAATACATAGAATGCCTTATTTGTGAGGCATCTGCTATTGAAATGCTGGAACCTAAATTTGTAAATTTCTCGTGCCTGGCCTCTCTGCAATAACAAGTGCTTAGAATAAGCTCTTAAGCTATGCCAGTGCATCTGTATGCAACCCATTTGCGTAACAACTTGTCGTCAGTCATCTTTATTCGTTGTCCTTGTGACCAAATTTTCTGAAATGGAAAACTCGTATTCACAATTCGGTTAAATTTTTCTTCAGCCGCTGTCATCTTGAACTCTGGCACTCATGGGGGTGTGCTATGTAGGAGCAGCTCCATGCTGCATTTTGGTAAATGACATCTATATCAGTTTGACAGGAGTTTCTCCAGCCTGGATAATTTTGTGTAACTTATCTGAACGTTATGGCTAGTCTCCGGCTTATTCTGTAATTTCTGACAAGATTTGTGCTCGGGTTTAGAGGTTTGGCATGAAACTGAAAAACACATATAATTACGCTAGGTTTCTTGATTAATTCTTAACCAAAAAAAAACTTGACCAAAGAAATCCTTGACCTAAAATAGTATGTATTTTGGGCTTCATTATGATACATCATTCTCAGACCAAACTTTTGAGGCATTTGCAACATTGCACACGGCATTCCTGGGCTAAAGCACTTTTGGTGCTATTTTTGGCAGGTGGACCCATTCCATACATTGTTTGGCTTGGCCGGTCTGTCATTGCTAGGAGATGAGAGACTCAAGCCGGTGAACCCAGTCTTCTGCATGTCCGAAGAGGTTGTAGCAAGGCTGGGTGTGAGACACCAACTGTTATCCTTGTGATATTAATTTGGTCGCTCACATTTTCAAGTCATTTTAGATTTTGTTGGAGTAAGTCATTCATGTCCATGTTGCTATTGTTAAGGCTTAACGAGGAAAATGCATTATGTAATGCCTTGCCTATTGAGTGACAAAAGTTAATATGGTTGTTGTAATGCATGGAGTGTTTTTTTTCCTTGCAGAAGTCGCTGATTGCTCCTTGTCATTTTATTAGGGCTTTTCAAATTTCACTTACTGTGCATATCATTTTTATCACATTAAAGGAAATTTACTCACTATATTCTAAAAAATGGTATTTTATTCAGTGCGTGCTATGTAGCGATTGTTATTTGTTTCAAACCATTAGAACACTATTTGTTCACACGGTTAGAATGTGCTACAATGATAATTGAATCAAGGGTACGTGCAGTGTGAAGTCTTGTGCAACTGAACATCCACAGAAACTTTCTTTTTCTCCTTCATTACTAGTGCAGCTTAAAGAACTACAGCATAAAACTTGGTACAGTAAATGTTTGTTAATTCGACACTAGTTAATTTGGAAAATCGGGTAACTCGGAGGTGTTCCCTATTTCTGGCCAGCATGTGCGTTATTTAATGGCACCAAACTCTCGTTAATGCCGCCATACAGTCGTGGACAGATTTTTCGGACTCCAAAAATTTGGACTTGTTCGATATTTCAAACTTCACAAATGCACCGTTGTTTAATCAAGTGCAGCGCCAGGTCAAACCGAGGAGAAAGAAGAGCCTCCTTTCATTAGCAAGTCCACTCTCACGGGGACTGGCAGCCAGGAATCAACCAAGATGGCTGAAAATAAATGTCGTTTGTGATCTTTAAGCCTTGCTTCTTGCCAGTGAACAATATGCCATTTTAAACAGTTTGGTGCCGAAGATCTGGGAACTACTACAAGGGATCACGGGAGGCTACGAGTGAACTGAACACCATGGAGAGGCTGAAACTGAAGTGGCCATCGAGATGATCTCTCAACACTAGGATTATGAACAAGGCAAGAGCCATTCTCGGGGATGCGACAGTGACCATTGACCAGCCCAATGCCATTTACAGACGTTTGGAGGCAAACACCGGTGAACTGAACCAAATCAACAGGGAGTTAGAGAGCCACATACCAGATGAAGAGTTTGAGGAAGAGTACAACACCGTCCTTGAACACGAGGACAACGCTAACAGCGTCATGAGTGAGCTTCTTGGTAACGTCATAAGTGAGCTTCTTGGCAAGCGCGACCGTATTTCTGCGGCCATGTCATCAGCACCGGAGCTTCAGACTTCATCGGTAGCGAGTACCGATGGAGCCTCTGGTGGCTTCCCAAGCTTACCATCGCCCCATTTTCTGGTGACTGTACCAGTGGAATGACCAGATGATTCACTGGAACGGAAGCCTCACGGCAACGGACAAGTTCAACAACCTGAGGTTCTTTTTATGGGGCGACGCAGCTTCAGCTATTGTGGGCCTGCCAACCACAGAAGCTTGCTACAAGGACGCCATCGACATACTCAAGAAACGCTTCGGGGACAGAACGAGACTCAAGCAGGAGTACTTCTCCAGGCTTCATACAATGCCTTCAGTTCGTTCAAGTGACCCGTCGGCCTTTCGCAAGCTGTAAGACCAGGTCATCGTCAACATCAGAGGACTGGAGACCCTTGCAACATATTGCTGCGGGCTTTACCACACGATCTCGTTGTATGCTATGTGACATATTGCTGCAGGCTTTACCACACGATCTCGATGTACAGTACCATTGGTCATGCGCCAATCGGGCGACGAGCTACAGCAGTAATGCAGCCTCTAACTTGGAGCTGGAATGCCTATTGAGTTTTTTGTCTATCGAAGTGGAGAGCTTAGAGAAGAGTGAGTTCGCTAACCATCGTGGAAAAAACAGTCATCATGAGAATGCACAGAACAAATCACGCCAGTCTCGTAGCTCGAAACTCGTGTCATCCGTTCTCCAAAACAACACAAAGAAAGTACCTGAGAACTGTGTGTTTTGCAAATCGAGCCAACATTCCACGGAAGAGTGCTCGCTCAATCTCCCGCTAGCCGAAAAAAAAAAGCACTTTATCGGGAAACATGAGGTGCTTTCAATGCACGATGAAAGGTCACAGGGCGTGGGATTTCAGGCGCAAGATTACGTGCTGTACCTGTCAAGGGTGTCATGTGACAAGCGTGTGTGGTCCGCAGAAATTAAGCCAGAAGACACGAGAAACCGGCAGGACAAATACCAGAATACTGGCAAGTAAGCCAAGCACCAATATGACTGTATGTGCATCTCTAGGGAAGAATTGACATACCCCCGAGAATTTATCGACGAGTGTCCTTCTTTAGACATTTTGGGCTTGGGCCGTAACAGATGTTACATGTCGGTATGATAGAGGTGTCATAGACGGAGGAAGTCAGCGCACATTCGTCACAGAGAGGCTATCAAGGCAGCTGAAGTTGCCATGTGTGGGATCTACTTTCATTGCGCTCAACACCTTCGCAAGCAAGTCGAGTTGAGCAGTGCAAAGGCGACGTGTTGTGCAGCTCCGTTTGAAGTTTCAGTTTTCACACACTGAAATTACCTTGAAAGCCATAGAAATTCCACACGTATGCCAAGATATTGAAGAAAGTGCAAGTTAACCATTTGTCGCGGAAATACAGAGGGATGGAAAAGGCATTACTGATCAACTACTATATAGATCTATTGTCGGGGAAGAAGGCATCCGTGTTCTCATTGGTTCCGACCAAATGTGGATGATGATGACAGAGAGGTCACTGGATGCGCAGGCAACGAGACGCTTGTTGCTATGAACTCGAAGCTGGGGTGGATGTTTCAAGGCAACACTAGCATGGCATCGGATGTTACACACTCAAGGATTATGGTCTGCGTATTGAAAACCAGTGTGCAAGAGAGCGACGAATTCCTTTGTTCGTTTTGGGAACTCGAGAGCATAGCAATAACAGACGCTGCCAACAGTGAGAGCGAGCTCAGTCGAGTACTCAAGCAATTTGAACAGATCATCTGCCTTATGGGTGGAAGATACGAAGTGACACTGCCCTGGAAGGAAGACGTGGAGCTCTCAGACAATAAGCAAGTGGCTATGAAAAGACTTTGGAAACTTCTTTCTTGACTGTCGAATAGGCAAGGACTCTTGGAGACGTATGACACCACTGTACGAGAGTACGTACGAGCGGGACATGCAGAAGTTGTCGAAGAGCCACCCCTGAATTCGTCAAAAGTTTATTAATAGCCACATGGAGAAGTGATCAGAGAGCACGCCCTCATCAAGAAGGTCCGAATCGGTTTCGGCACTTCCACCTCCGAATCGTTTTTGGCACCTCCTTTCATGAAAAAGGGTGCTTTTCATTGAATGAATTCTTGGAAAAGGGTGAAAACCTGTACCAGGATCTCGTGAAAGTATTATTACGCTTCAGAATGTACCGTGTAGCTCTTCTTGCCTACATTGAAAAAGTTTTCCTTCAAATTTCAATCGCTGAGAAAAACAGATGCCTTTAGGGTTCCTCTGGTTTCAAGAAAAAGAAGCACTGCATCTCTCAGAGGAGGATATTCAAGAGTGGAGGATGAAGCGAGTGCCATTCGAAGCAACGTGCAGTCCCTACCTACTGACTACAACTATATTCCACCATCTGAGGAGCGTGCATTCAAGCAAAGCCAGAACCGCAAGACTTCTCAGTGAATCATTCTACGTGGACGATCTAGTGGCTGGAGCAGAGTCAGATGAAGAAGCACTTCAAATCTGCAGAGAAGCCAAGGAGATTATGCAGCAAGCAGATATGACACTAAGGAAATGGACGACTAACTTGGATGGATTGATTATAGCATTTAGAGTAGAGAAACAGACCGCAGGCAAGGAACTGGCTATCCTCCATGTGTCAAGTGCACTCACAGGCTTCGCGATCTACTGTACAATGTGGTTGGATTCCACAATCACACTTTCGTGAATAAAAGGCGACATGACGAAGTGGTAGCGATTTGTGTCGAACAGAGTGAAAAACATCAGGGAAAAAACAGATCCTTCTATGTGGAAGTATTGCCCTGGTAATGTGAATTCAGCCGACCTGCTCACACGTGGAGTATCTATGGAGAAATTATTGCCCAGTAGCACGTGGCGACATGGACCAGACGGCAATGCGAATCAGAAGACCGATTGCCTCAACAACCGTCAGAAGCTATCAGCACCAACGACAGGATTTCTTCTGAAATGATTGCAGTGCATGTTGAGATATCTAGTGAGGCAACCTCAGCACTAATCCTGGACATAAACAGTTACAGCAAAATTGAGAGTCTACTCAGGGTCACGGTCCGGGTATTCAGATTCATTGAACGCTGTCGACTGAAAACCACAATGCACACCGGATTTCTAGTAGCTAAAGAGATTGCTGAAGCTGAAAATTATTGGATCAGGCATGTACAGCAATAATCCTTCAGAGAAGGAATAAGCTCGATTCGGAAAGGCACAAGTGCAAAGGAGGACTCTCGAATCAAAGACCTTCACCCGTTCTTGGACGACAACAGCATCCTTCGGGTCGGTGGGCGCCTGTTACACCTTAAAGCATCTGAAGAGGTAAAACACCCAGTCATTCTCTCACATGATCATGGCTTTTCCGCATTACTGATAGTATGAGCATACTGCGAAATTTTACAGGCCACGCTGTGACAGCTCTTATAGCACGTCATTGTTTGACAACAACGAACCCATTCGAAGTCTCTGGAGTTGACTTCGCAGGACCGCTCTTTGTTGTGACTGCAGCCGGTGCCACAGAGAGCAAATGTTACATAGTGCTTTTCGTATGTGCTACATCTAGAGCAGTCCACCTGGAACTGGTTTCGAGCCTGACCACAGAAGCCTTCCTCATGAGTTTGCGACACTTTGTAGCCCGAAGGGGTCTTCTTCACGTAATTTATTCAGACAACGCGAGAATATTTGAGAAGACGTCAAGAGACTTGGAGAAGCTCTGTCACATGTTTTCCTAAGAGGACGTATCTGTATACTTGGGTCACAAGAAGATCACCTTGAAGTTTATTCTTCTCAGCGCTCCATGGTGGGGCAGATGGTAGGAGTGTCTGGTTCGGACTATCAAGGTTCCACTGAGAAAGGTTCTCGGCAAAGCTCGACTTGAATTTGAGGAGCTGACTACTGTGCTATCGGAAGTGGAGGCGGTTGTGAACTTGAGGCTTCTCACCAACATCGAGTCGAACAGCGGAGAACCTCGTGCATTAACCCCAGCAGACCTCATTATTGGAAAGAAACTTGCGGCGCTACTGCAGGGCAGCAACGACACACCAATGAACCTGACGCGCACGGCAGCTTTACGATGGCATGCGTATAAAGAACAGCTAAGTGAAAACTTTTGGAACCGTTGGACTAAAGAATATCTCCTTCAGCTTCCATCAGCGCACTTTTCGCGCACCAGAGCCACTAAAGAAGTTAAAGCAGGAGACATCGTCATAGTCCCTTATGAAAATTTACCCCGACAAATGTGGAAACTTTCAAGGGTACTGGAAGTCTACAGAGGAGCTGATGGCCATGTCCATTCGTGCAAGATTCGACAACATTGAGGGGTTGTTGTATCGACAAGGTCGATACAAAAGCTTTCTTCGCTCGAGCTTAACGAGTGACTTGGCGGTCGGGAGTATGTTTTATCAAGCACAGCACCAGGTCGAACTGAGGAGGAAAAAGAGCCTCCTTCCACGAGCAAGTCCAGGCTCACGGGGACTGGCAGCCAGGAATCGACCAAGACGGCAGAAAATAAATGTTGTTCGTGATGTTTAAGCCTCACTTCTTGCCAGTGAACCGTATGCCATTTTAAACACCATCAAAGCTCCCATCAAACTAATGCATTTTCGTGACCGACTTTCTGGACGAATCTATGGACCAAAGTTTGTTTTTCCGGACTAAACTGGCCATTTTGAGCTATGCCATTAGACTGGATTGGTCGAGTTCGGCTTGCTGTGGCTAGTTGTGTGGTCTTCAAGATTGGAAGTATGCACAATCTTCCAGTTTCGAAGGCCATGTCTGATCTTTCTTGGCTAGCAAAACCTTTTTCAGTGAGCCTTACCATCGTCATTGCGCATGTGGTCGTGTTATTGGTATACCAAATCTGTTTGAGCTGTCGTGCGC